ATTTATGTTTTCTTTGTATTAAAAATAAATAATTATATCAATGAGAAATTCATAATTTGTACAATTGGGACTTTCCTTATTATCAACTAAAGCCCCTTTCCATCCTGACCTCCATAAAAGGACTTCGGGAAAATACTTCTTTATTTTTAAACGTTCCAAACAATTGCTATGTACAATTTTCTCATTTATTAAGCTAAGATAAAGCACTCTAAAGACACTTATGTAAATAAGTTACTGGAAAATTTCCGTATGCCCAAACATTTGCTTTGAAGAGATTAGATTTTATTCTAAACTTTTAACGTAAATTATGGAAACCTCTAAAGGAAATTAAACTTAAGTAACAATTTTTGCTTAATTTTTCAACTGGCTCATTTCTTTAATCAGTGGTGGATATCTGTTATTAAAATGTATGTACTTTTGCGACGATATAGAAACTTTTCGAATAGAAACCTATTAAGTAAATATGATTTTTAAATTATTTTTTTATAAAGACGAAACGATAAAAATTCAGCTGCATTATTCTTAGTTACGCATAGCTTTCAAAACGGAGATGTTTCATCTCTTAGCATTTGATTTTGTCTCAATTAGATGAGTAATGATAAATATTCTTTCTACTTTATTGGATGATTTTTTAGTTAGTTAAAATAGTTTGAGATTTACAGCAAAAACCAAGTCATGAAATCACTTACCAGAGATTTTATTTCAATTATTAGGAGAAAGATTTTTGCCTAATAAGATTTTTGTTTTACTTTGTTCAGAAATGATACATAAGAAGGCTTTACTGTGCAAATATAGAATACTTTCACACGTTTTGCATTGTACGTTTTTATTTAAAATGTACGATAAAATACTGTAATAACATTGACTTGATATTTTCAGTTAAGTAACTTTAATGTAAATATTATTCCAAGTTTTATTTATGTAATGTAGTGCATAATTAATTCAAATAGAAATTTTCATTTCTTAATTTGTAATTTTTTAGAAGTGAACTGCGTGATGATAAACAGTCGTTCTATATCATATTTTTTTTTTTTTTTTTTTTTTTTTTAAGTTTTTTTAGAAGGTTTTAGAATTAGTTAAAGCGATTTGAATGGATAGCAAATCAAAACTGCATAAAACCATTTTCTTCTCATAATAGGATAAAGGTAGCTTAGTCAATACGGGATGCGATGTTGTAATAAGTAAAAGATTTGATAAATATTTTTAATTGCACAGGTTGATATTCTATTTCGACATATTCATTAGTTTTTTGCTCGAAGATTGATACAATATTTTCCCAGAGTCTTTTATACTGTTGTAAAGGTTTAGACTTGCTTATCAAGAGCTGTAGATTATGAAATGATTCATATATTGCACAATTATGTTACATTTCGCACTTTTTTCAATATAATCTATTTACTTGTTACTTGTGTTGCAAAAATTCTGCTTAATAAATTCTCCGTTTTAATGTAGATGTGTCATTAATTTCATACCGTATTAAATTTTTTTATTAATATATATCAACAGAGCATTTTTCCCATTTGACAGTTTAAAATTACTATATTTCTAAATCGGGAGGAAGAACATGAACATGAAAATAGATAAGAATATATTTGAAGTTTTAAATTATTAGCTACTGAAGCAAAACTTCAAGCTAAATACTTTTCTAATTAAAGTGATAAATTTAAACACCCTAGAATTGGGATTAAACTTTAAATTTCACAAATAATGTCACTGTCTTAAATATTCAGTTCAAGCATTTGACTCGATTAATTGATTGATCTCATTAGCCTAAGTAATCAATCTTAGTTTGTTTATCGAAGTGAAGCATAAACTTACCATATGATTATCTGATTATTCTGTTCTGAATCTAATGATATTAAATTCTAAAAGAGGAATTTTACGTGCTATGTAATGCTGGTACGTAATATGTATAAAATTACTTAGTAATGTACTTTTTATATACTTCTGAAAATTTAAAAAATAGGTAGTCACCTATAGTTTAGGTGATCAGGTGATTTAAGATATTACTTTCCCGCTAGTTTCATTAAATTAAGAGTTATTAGCAACATACTAGTCACGTTTCTTTTACGTGTAATTTAAGCATGAAAAAGGATAATCTCTGTAGGAGTTCTGAATACTTCTAGCGTTTTTGTTTCTTTACTTCTGTTCGCTGTGAAATGACTGTTATGGGAATAATTTAATATGCATAAACTATACGTGTTCATCTTTGACAGAGATATATAATGAAGGTTTCGGAAATACAATGGATAATACATTTTTTATGTTAAACATGAAGGTATTTCCTCATTGGGACTATTGGGACTCATTGGGACTCATTGAGACTATTGAAACTTATCATTATAACATTAGTGGTAAGATATTTAATTCCTTCTTTCAACAGATATACCAATTCTTATAGTTAAGTAATTGATTTTTTACTTTTACGTATTAGTGAAAGTATCCTTATTGCTATGTATATGTAAATCGCAATCCATTAGAACAACAGCTGGCAAACAATGCATTGAAGCGTGACGAATGAAATAAATGTTTGTAATGCTATCTGCGGTATAAAAGGAAAGACAAATCTAATGCAATTTTTAAAAATATATTGCTTTCAAAAGTGCAGTCCCTTTCTTTTGTCGAAATCTAAATGTTTATTAGAGGCATTAATTATCACTAAAAAGTTGGTAACTTCTCTTCTTTTAATAAGTTGGCAAACTTTGAACTTGTCGCATTAGTGATTACAATGCAGAAAAGAATATCAGATTTCTTATCTTCTGCAGAATTTATTCACCTTGGTTTTCCCATTAGGGCGAGAATGTATGACTTGAAAAGTTGCTTCGCTTCACTTCTTCAGACATAGCGAGCATTTTTATTCTACAGTAATGAGGAAAGTAATTGAAGTAATGAGGAACAGTAATGAGAGAGTAATTGAATAAACAAAAATGGGTATGCTTCGCTGGAGCTAAATCTGATTTTTAGGTTATTCTGCAATAAACTTTGCATTACGCAGATAAAAAAATTAAATTTATCCACAATAGTTGATGATCAAGACATGTACTTAAAAATAAAAAAACACAGTTTTTTCAGTTAATTCAATAATGATAGTTAGCAAACAAAGTTCAGTCAGTGGGTAACGTTTTGAAGGCATCTACACCGCAGAATAATTTTACACTTTTCAAAAATTTTCATAAAAAATATCAAAAGTAGCTAAATAAAATGATATTTAACAACTAAGATGTTAATTTGCGTTTGACAAGTCGATTTTCTGATGAAATTAAAAAAATAAATTAGCAGATAATTTAGTTGTTAAAAGATTCAGTCATATTTTATTCCGAATGTATGTCATCGACAGGAAACCCCATATAACTTTCTGTTGAATCACAAATTTGAATGAGATGCATTGCTAGAAATACTCATAATTTTGCCTTTTTATTTTTTAACATAGGATATCCATGTTTATTGCAGGTTTTCTAAATTAGTTTCAAAACTAAAAAATCGGAGAAAAGCATTTCATTGTGCTTGTCAGCGCTAATAGAAAGTGCGTTTGAATACAATAAGAAATGATAAAAAAGAGAGATTACAGAAATACCAATTTTCATTTCGTGTTGGCAGCAGCATAAATTTGAAGAAAATGTAAGATTTATTACTGTACTTGTGTGATTAATTACAATTAATTTTGGTAGATATTGGAGCGGCAATTGCATATATAATTTATTTTAAAATGAAAGATTTTTTATCAAATGATATAGTTCATTTCAAGCCTGAGTAGAAATTATACTTTTTATTGTAAACTAATATCAATGGCAATAAGCAAATATTTCTTCACGATAAGACTTCCCTAAATTAATATTCTCGTTATTACAGCAATAATTTCAATCCAACTGGAAATACATTTCACTATCTTTCAACGTTTGCGTAAAAAATAGTTATCTAATCATCAAATATTAGTAGCGTGTATGAATAAATCAGCAGGGAAATGTATATAAATTGATTTACTGGAAAAGTAAACTAGCTGAATTTTTTCTTTTTTTATCACTTAACTTTTAATCTTTATACTGGACGGAGTATTATACATCTTTTAAAATTTTCTTTCATATGTAATATACAGAACATTCGTTTGTTTTTGCTATCAAATATTACATGATGAAATATTTCGTTATGACGTTTAAGAATTACATTCCCTAACCTGTCATTAACACTATCGATTCAAATAAAAATCCAAATGATAAGGTATGGTAATGTATTCCAACAATTAATTAAAAAACTAATGGCGAAGTTTGGAATATGCCCGTTACAGATTAAGTGATTAAGATTGCCAATATTAGCGACTAATCGCGATGACTACTTCAACAAGTTAGTACCCAAATGTGTGCTTTCCTTTAAATGAAAACAGAATTATTCACTATTTTCCACTATCCGCTATTTCTTACAATTATCACTGTTTTCCTCGAAAGCTGAATTGTGATGAAAATTGTGACATACTCAAATTAAAAATGCGTCTAACCTTTTTTAAATAATAAAGAATATATATGTATGTATGTATGTATTACGTACGTATGTATGTATGTTTGTAGTACGTATGTATGTATGTATGTATGTATGGTTAACTGTTCCTCGTTTTGTGGGAAAATGGCGGCGGCTAGAGCCACCTAATTTTAAACAAAATGCAATCCTTCACCTGAATGTGTGCACCTTGAAGCTCGTATTTTCAGTTTCAGTTGATTTTATTTATTCCGTATTTGTGCAGCTTTAGTTAATTTTTGATTGGCAAGCTCAGGGATTTCAAAGCAGTGTACTGTCAATGCTCGAAATGAAACGCTTTTCTTTTCGGCGTGCTAGAGAACAGGTATTCGAGAAAGCGTAAGATGTTTAATTCCCAAATTAAATCTGTCTGTTATTAATTAACAAGCTAAGCAATTGAAAAGAGCCAAATTCTTCTTTGAGGTGTTGATATTGCTATCTAAAAACTTTAGAAATCTGAACCCATGCTAATAATTCGTAAGGACATTTTTCAGTGTTCATTGTAAAATATAAAATACTTTAAAATCATTTCCTTCTCTTTAGATCTTTTCGGAGCATAATTAAAAGTAGTTATTTCATTAAAGATATTAAACAATGAGCATTATATAACTTCTTTTGAGTTTAAAGTCTTAAATCGCTGGACTGGGATGACTCGTTAAATTTGCGTTATCAAAAAAACAGTACTTTTGGTTTATTATTAAATATTTTTTGAAATTATGTTAGCTGGTATCGTTAAAATCATTACATATTTCATGCTTTTCTAATAATTAATTTAGGCGGCGAAGTATTTAAAATATCAAAACGCCTAATATCCTTACTATTTTATATCATAACATATTTCGCACAAAATCTTCTCGCTGTAATAAAGAAAATTAAAATGTATATTTACTGGCCTCATCAAAAATTAATAATATTAAATTAAAATGTTGATTCCCACAACAAAAGATTCATTGCAGCAGTTTTACTGTAAGAAAAATACGAATAAGTACAAACTTCATTATACTTTTGAAGCAACTAATTTTGAAGTAATTTAAAATTTGAAGAGCACGAATCATAAACAAATTAATGGACTTCAAAGTTAACTAAAATTTAAGCATTACCATATTCTCATAAATGAATTGTCGAATATGACTGTTGTCGGTGCTACACACGTATGCAAGTTTTGATACGCATTTTTGACAAGATATCTCTTTTAATATTTAGTCAAACATTTATCACACATGTGGACTGTCCATGGGAAAATCATCTGTTGGCACTGGCCGAGACTGTTTGAATTGTCCTCTTTGTCTGCAGCGAATGGTTATCAGGGCAAGGGCTAATAGGAGAAGGATCGCTCCCGCAGACGTTCCAGCTGCTACGTAAGGGGTAGGGAATCTGTCGCAATGAGCCGGTGCTTCATCGTAGCCGGATGGACAGTGTTTTCTGCCGTCGCACCACAGCTCTGGCCCGATACAGGCATTCAGTTCCGGGCACTCGAAGGGGCAGTTGACATCACGCAACAACTGACCAGTGTGAGTACGGAAAAATGGTTTCGTGACTTCTATCCACTCGAACCGTACTGTCTCCGCATGGTTGGCTAGTACTTCAATGTACACATGATCCCGCAGCACATGCCGTGTACCGCTCTCGCGCGACGAATCGTTGTACCAATAGTTAGAAAAGACATCCACTTCATGGTCAGCATCCGTAGCGGAGGAAGATGCAGATTCGACTCCAGCAATGGAAGTGGAGGACTTGCGACCACCATGTAGACACACGACAGATAACGGCTGCACCGGAAGACCGGCATATACTATAATCTTGTTACCTGAGAGACAACCCTCAGCCCCATCAGTCCCTTTGAATCGTAAATAAAGATACTTGCGCGGAGCTGCCTCAAGAAGCCACCGACAACGAAGCGGCATGGCGCGACCTTCGACTGTCGAAGGAACCTGGAATACAACCTGAAAGAAAAAAAAATAAATCTGTGGTATTTTCTAATATACAATATATGAAAAAATTTACAATGCAAGTTAAAATTTTAAATAATTAACTAAAAATAAAATAGTGTAGCACCCTTATACGTGTTGTATTAAGATAGTATAGAAATGACATATACAAGAATGGTTAAAGACAGTTTACACACATTTTTTTCGCAGTTTTGATTTAAAATCTCCATTTGACAGCAGCCTCTAATTTCTTTTAAACCGATACGACCAAGAATATTATTCATCCTGAACATCAGTTTTTTTAGCCTTTAATATATTCAACTAAAACAGTTTAACTTGGTTTGGTGAATTATGATACTTACATATTTTATAAAGTAATTTTAATTATACGGTTTTAGTTAGATAAAAGTAAGTATAGATAGGCAGTTTATGCTATGTCTTATATGGTTACGTAGAAATACCTATAAAGGTAAAATGTAAAACAAAAATCGACAAACAGTTCAAATTTATTCTCTTCGGTACTACTTTCCCTAAAGAGGAATCCTGCAACGAAACAACAAAACATACTTAAGTATTATATTCAAATGAAAGCGTTTGTACAATTAATTGTACGGAAAAAGTATAAAATTCTACATATTTAAAGTTTTGGACTCATGCTTCAAATATTAGTTACTTAATATTTTCATATAAACTAATATATTTTGCAACTATTTATTAAGCAATTTACAGTGCTTACATTTTCTTCAATAAATATTCATATCTTCATTACCAAATTGAATTTTGTGATTATTTCAATACAAAAGTTAATTTTACTAATTTAAAACTTTCAATCCATCTCTTTAATTGTAATTTTCTCATTAAAATAGTGTATTGAAAGTTTTCAACTAACGCTTCAAAACGTTTTCTTGAGTTGAGCCAAAAATAGCATTGCTTAACCCGATTGTATCCTTTTAGAGTTTGAATGATGTTCCTGGGAACATTTTTAATTAAACCATAATTAAAATAAAATAAATTACTCACTAGATTCAGGAAAAATTAATCTTCAGCAATAAGTAATTTTTAAAGACTTTAAACTGTATTAGAAGGAATTCAATTTATTTTTCCCATTTATATCATACATTGTTTAGTTTTATTTGAGATTATTAATTAAGTCAGAAGTTAAAACTCTGTGGAAAAGGAAATGTTCATTAAGTTTTAATTTTAAGCGATTATTACTACCTTCTGAAAATATTCATTAATCTTTGCGTCGACTAAGTATCCTTTCCTGACCATGAGACACCCGGTTTTTGAAAAGTTTTAATCAGAAGGTATTATTTATTCATGACTTCTCTTTGTATATCAGAAGTTAATGATGTATAAAGTCATTCACATGAGACTTCGCATTAAATGGACAGTTCCAAATCCTTTTACATGTAAAGTTTGGTAAGGTCTTCTTCATTCCGATTCTGCAATGCAGTAGTTTATACAGACTGACGGTTTTTTAATGGAAGCAAAATATAAATATTTAATAACGTGAGCTGCTCTCGTAAAGATGCAATTAAAAATTCTTAAAATATGAAACCAAAAATAAAAGAAGTAATAATACGTAAACATGAGAATATAAAACATACATGATTAAAATGCATAATATTACAGATGTATGAATGTTGAAATAGAAATGACTACTTTACAGTAATAAGCCAAAAACATTCTACATATTTCATCTTAAATTATGTGTATGATAGTTAATAAAATGGACAAAATGAATAGCCTGTGAAATTATACTTAGTTTCTTATCGTGCGAGATGTGTACATACAAAAATGTAGTAAAGAAATGTAGTACTGCAACAATTCCTTGCAGATGTTTAAAAAAATGGGCAAGGTACCAAAAACGTGAATTTTTGATGAATCTTCATGAGAGGGTGAAAAGAAGATGTCAAGTTTAACAAGCTCATATCGCTTAGATACAAGGTACAACTCGCATTTTGTCTTTCACATTTTACCGAGAAAGCGATATGGAAAGTTACGTTCAGATATCACACTAAATATGATTAATCAGCTTTTCTTTTTCTATTTATTCCAATAAATACCAAGCAGCCAAAATTTTCAAAACTATAAAAGAAAATTTAATTTATTTTCTCCTAAGTACCGGGTTAAATGGATCCCCATTCAATACTAACATTTTTAAGAATATTACTAAAAGCTGCTCATTTTTTTATATGTAGTTGGCAGAAAAATAAGACATTTTTATTATAGTACTTTTATATGATAGTGGAATTCGCTTTAATAACTTTAACACTCTTTTATAAAAAATAATAAAATAAAATAAAAAAACAAAAATCTGAAAGGCTATCAGGTTTTCTGGGCGTTTTATTAACGTATTGTGTGTTACCTTTCTTTATTAAATATCCTGTTCTCCACTCTTAAACCACATAACATTCAATTCAACAACAATATGACAAAATATTTAAAAATAGCTAAACTGCATATCTTTCATAGTCTGCCCATAGTCTCGCTCGCTGGAGATAAAAGTGTTTTTTTTTTTTTTTTTTTTTTTTTTTTTTTTTTTTTTTTTCCCGTACAGTGTTGCCATTTCTCGCTTTGAAATCTTTGAGTTATTCAATAAAAAATTCGTTAAAATCTTACAAAATATCAAATAAATAAAAATTTCCAAATTCGGGCTTCCAGGTTTCCGTATTCGATTGGAGGATTACGTTATTCAAAATTTGATGGCTCTAGGTACAGTTGCGTTTTCACTATGGGAGAAACATTTCATGCATTTCGGCAGATTCTTCATTATTTAATTTCTTTAAATATAATACATAGCGATAATATTTGGCGAAAGAGTTTGAAAAGTTAATCAAAGCAGAAAGTGAATCAGCGCAAAATGCCAAAACGAAATTAACAGCCCTTCTGGGCTAACGCGTTATGGGCTAAAAAGAACTATTGTATTTATATAAGCTTAAGGAAGTAGCATTACAACTTTATTCAGTGTATTGATTTGGATTTAAGACAGCTTCATCGTGTATCTTACAGGATGAGCTTTGAAACAGTTTCATAAGCAAAAGAAAAAAATTACATGTGAGGAAATCTTACATATGCGAGTTTAATACACTGAACGACTTGTACAAGGAAAACAAATAATTACTTGTTTGTTCCGCGTTACCATTAAAGTGGCGAACTGAGGTACTAATTACTTGATCGCATAATACGGCTGGTGTGCAACTTAAGTGAAGTTGTGTACTGAATAATGAAAAACATAACTTATAAACTACAATAACATATCCTACTCTGAACGCATCCCAAAGTCTTAATCATTTATTTAAGGGTTACATTGCACATAATTTTAATAACACATTTTCTCTGAAAACTTAATTATTCTTAAATTAATCAGATAAGAATACAAGGGAGACCTAGAATACTTAATGCTTAAGAATACTTGATTCTTGGGTATTGCATATTTTGAATTTAATTAGTACAACCTTGAAATATTGTAAATTTTTGTAAAATCAATGATTTTGTAAAATCCGCAGAATGTACCCATTTTCATTCAGTATGTTTTATAAAAGCGCAAATTCAACTTTCAAAAGTAAGCATAATAATAGGATGATTTTTTATTGTTTCCAGCTTAAAAATTTAATCCTGCTTTGTTTTAAAATACATAATTTTGCTATGCTAATATAAAATATTAATAATGTTTTTCATTTCATACATAAAGCAGATTAATTTGTTTAAAACTCATAGTGGAGATATTTGGTGAATACTGGAAGAACTCTTTTAAGAATATGGATCAAGATTCTACGGATCAAATATCCCTAAAATACCTTTTATGTAATAAAGGCATAATTACTTCAGTTTCATTATATATTGCAAGCAATTTTATATGAATTGAAATTCGTAGTATATATTTAAATCTATATAATGGGTAAAAAACAAAATTCATGGAACTTTAGTTGAATGCTTTAATGGCTGATGCTGTGAATCAATTTTTATCCTCACATGCTTAGTAAAAAGAAATGCTATTCATTAAGAGGGTCAAAACAGAATAAAATTAGGATTTTTCTGAAGTAATATATTAATTGAAAGTTATATTATCTCAGAGACGATGTTAAAAAAATGGTGATGAAAACGTGCTAAATATTGTCCTTGCCTTTTAACGCTTCACTCACTATTCTCGAGGAAAAAAGTAATCAAAAATTTATGTTTTTGGAAATTTTAAATTTATTGGCAAAGCGTTTATAAATGTTTCCAAATTTTCAAATTTAAGTTTCAAGCAAAAACGATTTTATAGGTTTATCTTCTAGTAATCATTAAGAAATAAGAATTAGTGATTCTTTTTATTTTATGAAAACATAACAGATGTGTAATGAAATAAAATACATCATGTTTCAAACCAATTTTTTGAGAAAAAGAATTCCTAAAGAAAGGATCATTTATCCCTTCTCATGAAATATATGTGCGCAACACAGCAATTCTTAATTTATTGAAATACACATATTTAACACTCATCAAAAGTATCATATTCTAACAGGAAAACCCACAAACACACTCTTGAAAATTTCTTTAAAATGTCTATGCCTAAGAGAAAAGTTTTAGGCTATGTTAGAGGTTCTTAAGGGGTAAAAAACTATAAATAATTTCAACACCTCATTTTTTTCTGTGTTTCATTGTATATACGGTATGGGTACAAATTCATGCAAAGTACATCTAATGAGACAAATTCGCAAAGAGAAATCTCAATACTCTGAAGACAACTCTGAACTAAAACCTGATAACATACTTGGATACTGTTGTGGTTATAATGAAAAATACAGCAAGTGAATCCTAGACAGGAGAACATCAGTAGAGAAAAACTGGTAATAGTTGCTCTCCGGTTTTATATAGTTCCTCCCCCCTCCGCCTCCGAGGAATTTCCAGTACCTACCATTTTTCGAAATTACTGGAAGACATACGGTTAAAGTTACGTACAATTACATATAGTGATCAATAACAGTGCCGAATACAGGTATTAAGGGACCAGACCAAAATGTCACCAA